ATGGTGATGCCATTATGCTTATATTTAGATCAGTACAATTCTGCCTTAGTGTGAGGCATGTACCTTTTTCAGTTTCCAAACCGAGAGACACTGTACTAAGCTAGCAGTATTATCTCATATAATAATATATTTAAACATGCTTTTGCATTGTCCTCCATATTATATGCAGTTGAGTAGGTGCCTGTGTTGCAGCAGTGGACAACTATGGTAATCCCAAATGAGGTTTAGCCCCACGCCCAGGGCTACCGGAGGTCCACCAACTCCCTATGCACTTGATAGAGTTGTTCACATTATAAGATCATTGTACTGTATAGGATATGAGTACTGCTTTGTGTGTGCGTTTTCTGTAGGTGGGGAGGGGCGGTGGACTACAGATGTCCTTGCCCCGAGCTTTCTCTACATGAAAATCTGTTTTGGAACAATCGCTGGCACCGAGTGATGCCACGCTATACAGCAGGAATGATTCCTGGAATCAGCTGTGGAGGGTTAAATGATACATAAAAAGACATGTATCACAATGTCATCGCTTATGGGAAGTGTTCCAGTAACACTTTAGAGACGTCATCATCAAAGCCTGCAGTTTCATCTACAATTAAATGTATTTTATGAATTTAGCTCAGAGGACGTGACTAATCTTAAAACGCAGATTGTAGCCATTATTCACAGGGCCACTGAGTGTATTCAGTGTAACACTGAATACACTCAGTGCAACACTGAAAAGGTAACTGGGAAAGATAGCCACATTAAATGGGATAAAGAGACAAACCAAACTCAGAGCAGGAGAAGCATGGGAGCCTGCTGCCCTCTAGTGTCAAATATCCAGCTCCCAGTCTAACACAAAGTCACAGCTGAGATGAGAATGAATAATTCATAAATGATGGGATGATAAAGCAGTATTATACCAATGCAAGATACGAGATGTAATTGATAATATGGGTCTCTTATCAAACACTTTCTCATCTCTAAAAAGAAAAGTGAAATCTCATGGACAAACTCCTGCTGCTGATCGTCTTAAGTGATATGCGTAATGCTTTAAGAACTGCTGACGTGATGAACTTTTGTGTGTACCCAGGAGTCCCTGATCCAGTATTAATTACTAGATTGTGCACTTTTTTCCCCACTCTTTTAACCTGTTTTTATCAGCAAAGTGCCAACGTCATGCACTCCATGAATGTCAACAGTTTCAGCCACTCTCTCTCCCACAGATTAACCTAGCAGTGCCAGTCAGCACCAGCGCAGGGGCGGTTCAGGTTTAATGTTTAAGCTTTTAGTACCACCTCTTTTGTCCACACACATTAGCCAATCTCCCTGTGTGCGCTAAACCAGGAGTGAGTCACCCGAGAGATTGAAGAGAGTGAACTGTGTGGGCCTGCTGCTCAAAAATCCCATGAGATAGTGCCATCTCTACGTGACCAGAGAGTTGGGGTCAAGGTAAGCTGTTGGATTTGACATTTGAAAAACAAATGTAGAATCAGGTGTCCCGTTTTTTAAAATTCAGCGATAGTATCACGACAGTAGTGAAGTACACGGAGCCGCAGCATTGTGTGAGTCACAACTCACACAAGTCCTCTGTAATTAGCAAAGCCCAAGCAGCACTGGAGTCATGTTGGGGTCTTTTTTGGAGTTGTTGTATTCCAGCAGTTTGTGGTGTATGTGTCGTGCTGTTTGACATGGTGTGACTAATGGCTTTCCACTAACACAACTGTCTTTTACAAATCTTGAATCGAGGCTTTTCTTCATTTTCCATTCAATATAGAGATATTGTGTCACCATATATTTGCAACTGGTTGAGGAGGTCTATGCATAAGATACCTCACTGTATAAGAATCTGACATTTGTGTTTATCGGGAAGGTTTTTATTTTTAACTATATCCTGTAAATTTTAATTCAGTAGTAGAAACCCACAAATGATTATCTATCTATCTATCTATCTATCTATCTATCTATCTATCTATCTATCCATACACATATATGTGAATACATATATGTATGTATACACATATATAGCTTCATTTTTACCCAAATAAACTGATATACAGATGTTTGAATGTTATTTGTAGAACGCTACTATTCTTTTTCTTTCCCACAGCTTCTCTTTGTCTTGCCGTGGTAAAGATTCTGCGATTACGTTTTTTCCGATGAATTCCCAAAATCAGCCCACAGCATGAAATCATTCAAGAAACAAGACCACGAGGGTGTGGTCGGGTCCTCCACCATTAAAGATCCACCAGTTGCTGTATGGGTTACTCACACACCCACACCGGATAATATCACCGATGATGGTGAGGATGATGCGACCTCCACAGGTCGCACATCCAGTTCTCCACCTTATGCTGAGCAAGAGAAGGAAAAAAAAGGAAGCCTGAAAGACAGATTGAAATCCCTCATCCCTCAGTCATGGGGCAAAAAATGGACAAAAGAAAGCGACTCTGAAGCCAGCACAACTGGTATCCAGATCCTACCCAATGGGACCAGAGTGAGCCCCCCTGTAAGTCCCTTGGTGGAGCGACGGAACTGGAATGAAT